GCTCTTCGCAATATTGTGCTCCGGACTCTTTTTTTAAGTAAAAAGAAAGATGTGTTGTACTGAGTGATACACTGATAAAGATAATGTGTTTGCGAATTTAAGTGAAAAATGAAGCGTTGAAAGACTTTATAGTGACTTCATTAAAGTTGTTACAAATACTGAGTAAAAGTGTTCGTAAATTTATGTGAAATAGTTGCAAAATTAACGTTAAATTCCAATTGAACTTAAAATGGATTGTTTGTTTCCTTTTATTCAATGTTTACAATAGTAAATATACATGTATATTATGATATAAACTAAGGAATATATACATAATTATTCTTCTGTCAATTCAGCAATTTTGTCTTTTTTACATGCATTTCATAAAATTCAACATTTTAGTTTATTATTATTAGTTATTATTGTTGAATAATATACATGTACATTACTTAATGATATATATACTCTTTATTTTAAACAGAGTTATGGTTCTTTGTGGTTAAATCTGATCCACCTCACTATTAAGACCACCTCGCTATTAAGACCACTTTTGTCCGGTCCCCAAAGTGGTCTTAATAGTGAGGTTTCACTGTATATATTAGTAACAGCATAACATCCAAGCGTCATTCTGGCCTAGAAGTACCTTCGGTCGAGTCCGTATGGGTGCAACTTAACATATCAGGAAAACTAATTCTATATGGAACATTCTATAGACCCCCTGATGAATCAATTTCTTCTTGGGACCATATTACCCATTCTGTTGAACTTGCGTACAACACTGGTATACCTAACATTATCATAACCGGCGATTTTAATGCAAACTTATTAAACAGTAATAACCACTCTGTTCACCTTCACAATCTACTTACTACTTACAACCTTACCCAGAGTGTTGACAGTCCTACTTTCTTCACCGAATCTTCTTCTTCTCTTCTAGACATCGTCTGTGCAAGTGACCCATCCTTAATTAAATTTTGTCATGTCGGTGAAAGCATCCTAGACCAGCCCATTAGATATCATTGTCCTGTATATGGTAGCCTCAATATATCTAAGCAAACTCAATCATCTTTTAAACGTAATATCTGGTTATATGACATTGATGAGTACGACGACTATAGAGTCAAACTTTCCAAAATTGACTGGGACAGCATTTTAGACTGTAATGACTTAGACAAAAGTACTGATCTACTCACTGACATTATACTTAAGACGGCTAAAATATGTATACCAAATAAGATTATAACTGTTAGAAGTAACGCTCCTGAATGGCTAAACAACTCTGTAAGGAAATTGATTCGTAAAAGAAAATACTTTCATCGGAAAGCAAAGCAATCTGGTAAAATAAATGACTGGGCCAAATTCAGAAAATCCAGAAACACTTGTATCAACGCCATTCGTAACTCTAAACGAGATTACTTTAACAAACTTTGTAATACACTAAATCATAGTAGTAACACTGGTGCTAAGGAATGGTGGAAACTTATTAATAGTTTGATGTCTAACTCTAAAAGAAAAAGCGAAATTCCTCCTATTTCTGACAATAACGACATTCTACATGACGACCTAGACAAGGCGAATGCCTTCAACACTTTTTTCTCCTCACAATCTAATATTGATGATACTAATATTGACCCACCTGCATTTAACCTGTCTCATACACATATGCTTTCTGATATTGTAATATCTCGCCAAGATGTTCTTGATGCTATACATTCCCTCGACACCAAAAAAGCCTCTGGTCCCGACCTTGTAAATCCTTGTTTGATCAAAGAAGCTGCCGATATTCTAGGCTATCCTCTACTAAAACTATTTAAACTTTCGCTCACTCTATGTAATTTTCCATCATCTTGGAAAATTGCTAATGTTATACCAGTATACAAAAAAGATGATCCATCTATATTAAGTAATCATCGACCTATATCACTCCTGTCAATTGTTGGTAAAATGATGGAACGATGTATTTATAAACATGCTTACAACCATCTTGTTCACAAGTCCTTACTAACATCCTGTCAGTCTAGGCTCAGATCCGGTGACTCCACCATAAATCAACTTATATCTATTTCTAATGATATGTTCTCCGCTTTAGATAAAGGTAAAGAAGTCAGAATGGTATTTTGTGACATTAGCAAAGCGTTTGACCGGGTTTGGCATCGAGGCCTCCTTTCCAAAATAAGATCCTTCGGTATCACAGGAAATCTTTTTACTTGGTTCTCAGATTATTTACAAAATCGCTGCCAACGTGTTGTTATAAATGGTAAACAATCTTATTTAGCATATATCACAGCAGGAGTTCCCCAGGGATCAATTTTAGGGCTATTACTTCTTTTAATTTTTATAAATGATACTGTTCAAGACATCCATTGTAACATAAAACTATTTGCTGACGATACGTCTCTATATGTCGAAGTGGAGTCGCTGAGTCCGACCGCAAACCTGTTAAATAATGATCTAACGAAAATTCATGTGTGGTCTCAAACATGGCTAGTAAACTTTAACCCTAACAACACTGTAACAATGACCGTAAGTAAGAAAAATAACAAACCTATCCACCCTTCCTTGATCATGAACAACGTTACCCTAACTGAAGTCCCGTGCCACAAACACCTCGGTATTTCCATTTCTGCAGACGGAAGTTGGTCTGATCATATCCAATATATTATTAGTAAAGCTTCTAAAAAACTTAGTCTACTTAGAAACCTCAAATTTAGTATCGACAGGAAGTCTCTCCAAACTATTTATTATACTTTCATTAGACCCTTATGAGAATATGGTGATATAGTATGGGACAACATAACTTTAGGCCAAAGCCAGATGCTTGAAAATATACAGCTTGAAGCAGCTAGAATCACGACTGGGGCTAGCAAACTCACAAGCCTCGCTAGACTATATACAGAAACAGGTTGGAAACCTCTTAATGCTCGTAGGAAAAAACATAAAATTATTCAGTTTCACAAGGTTGTTCATGGTCAGTGCCCTCCTTACCTAAATAACGTTTTACCTGCTCGCCATTCTGATATGCATACTCATAACACAAGAACAGCTAACAATTTCTGTCAAATAAACTGTCGAACAAACCTCTACAAAGATTCTTCCCTACCCTCTTCTGCTGACTTATGGAACTCACTTCCTGAAAATCCAATCCGTCAATTACTAACCTCAAAAAATTTCTAAACTCCGACACTCTCTCTACTCGATCTGTCCCAAAACACTATTACTACTGCAGAAGCAGACATGGCCAAATACATCACGTTCAACTGAGAATGAACTGTAGCTCATTGAATGCTCACTTATTTACTCGAAACTTAGCTGATAGTCCAATGTGTTCATGTATTCTGTCTACCGAAACCACAGAACATTTCCTCCTCCAATGTGCTAATTACCAGCAGCTTAGATTTCAATGTTTTAGTCGCCTTCCTCTAAATTATAGTGCTAACCTTTTACTACATGGTAGTCCAGAATTATCTGTTCAGTCCAATGAACTTATCTTTGATTGTGTTCAAAACTTTATCATACAGACAAAACGTTTCTGAAGAAACTTGCATTTATTGCTCTCTTGTATCAGTGACTAATTGTTTTACTTTCTTCCTGTTTTCCTTTTTTCACTATATACAGTAAATATTTATATGAACAAATGTACAGTTCCAATCTTATATCAAATATAGTATGTATCTTGAACTCGGATTGTAAACAACCTGCGTTTGTTCCTTGTTCCTTTTTACAGTTTTGATGCCCAATGCGATGCCACTTAGTAATCACCATCCCAACCCCTGCACCATTTCTCTTTCTTTTCCCTGCAGATTTTATATATATATTCAATATAGTCAATATTGGTCCATAGCTTATATCTACATTAGGAGACGGATTAATATAAGTACTATGTACTTGTTTCTGTATCCCGCTTACGTTTTGAGAGATCATTGAACTAATTAATAGTTTGCTCTTTCCGGGTCTGTACTGTGTCTGTTATCAAGTGTTTATATATTGTTATAGATGTTTTCCGCTGTTACTTGCCTGTATCAGATGAGTTAATTGACTAACAGTAATAAAGAACTTGAACTTTATTAAGAATAAATTTATATTAGAAATTATTGTAGTGTGGCTGTTTTCAAACATAAATATCTACAGGAGCTCTTCTCAAAATTTTAGATTTTAGCTTTGCAACAATCATTGATATCTGTGATGTCTGAATATATTTTATGCCTGTTTTGATGTATCTTACAGTTACAATATTTCGATGACATTATAATATATCTTAGCCAACTATGTATTGCAATAATGCTTGTTCTACATTTTATCTTATAATTAATTAATATTCATAATTTATGTATTTTATGTACCGGTAACATCCAATGTAACAGCTTTCTGTGATATGTGTATATATTTTACGGCTGGGCCACATATTGTAAACTAGACTTGTCTAAATATGCAACCCTGGATAAATAAAAGATTATTATTATTATTATTATTATTATTATTATTATTATAATATTGCAGACAATATTTTGATCCATTACCGTTAAGTTTCTGGCAGGTATTTTGTAATCTGTTGAATAAACTTTGTTTAACATGAAGCGGTTGAAAAGATGATTTTGATCTTACCAGAGATTAAAAAAATAGAATAAAAGTCCCGTTTTACTGTAGACCATTATTTTATTTCTTCTTGTTTCCAATTTAATGTTATAAATCATAACACATTATATCATATTTTTACATCATGCTTATTATCAAAAGCACAAGACACCTGTTATACAGAATATTAATTTATATACTGGAATTGGCGGGAACAAAAAGACCCTTTTTAAAGAGAAAAATCATTTTTATTGTCACTTTTTGCTTTCATAATTCACTCTTTTGCGGTCGAAGGGAGAGCTTAACTAAAAGAGGAAACCGGAATACAGAAATTAGACGATCGGGAGGTGATAGAAATCTAGTTTTAACAGAAGTCCGCTTTTTCCATATGAATGATTCATGGAAATATTTGTCGAAAATGAACATAAGAGATATATCAGAGTGTTGGTTTATTCTTCCATCAACTGTAAGTGATTTCTGAACACACATCCCGGACTAAGTCGGCCATGTTCTTGTCTGATGTTAACCACCGGGCTCAGTGACGATAGTCCTATATCACAGCAGAAACATCGGACATTGTCCTGGCCACATTCTGAATAACAAAAAAAAGAAAAACCGATTTGAATAATATGGTCACATTGTGTTATATTTTATTTCCTTTCATGCTTGTTTTTATATACGAAATCTAAACCTGCAGTTTTGTACTTTACAGGACATTTGATGTACAAATCGAATTATAAGTAGTTTACTTGGAGTTCTTTTCTGACACATACTTGTGGTTTTACTGGTGAATGATTAAGTATAATTTGCATATCCCTTGACAATGATGTAAAGTGTGTATCATGTACAAAACACCGTATCACAATTCTGTATCTTGTATATAAACATGCACCACAATTCTAGACTCTACATTTTAATCAAAGGAATTATCTTGCCTGTCAAATAGAATCCATCTTTGACTAGATCGTCGACATCCGCGGTTCCACGATATCCATTCCAGTAAAGGAAGGACTGTCTGCGTTCTGACTCCAGTCTGTAAGGGTGGGCTGGATAAAAGAACAAACACTCCGGAGACAGATGTGCATGAATGGTATAAGGGCTTGTACCGTTTAGATTTGAAGCATCAACCTCTAGTCCACAATCTGTACATCTGACTGTGGATGTTTCGGGAGTCATACACGAAAATCCTCCTCTTACGAGTGGTCCCGTTGGAATGTTTCGATGAGGCCATTGTCTAAAGCTGGCCTCTCGCATGCCGCAAGTATTCATCTCAAAGCGACTCAATGCTAAAAAAAACGAAACATGCAATCGTAAAAGTCATTTTCAATCCCGAATACGTTCATTACAATGAGATATGCAGAAAACGTGTAATTCCTTCTTTTGAAAGAAGGTACTGTTACTGTCATTTCAATTAAAACAACTCATATCAACACAGCTGTTTGTCTATAGTGTATAATTACTAATTTCAGAACTTGCATCAACCACATGACCAGGGCAGCGTTTAAGCCCTGATGTCATTTATCCTTAGTTACAATGCAGCGATTCGTGACACAAAAATACGACTAAATTTTACTTGAAGACATTATTCACTTATGAGACTTAAAATATTTCAAATCAGAATTCTATCACAAAGAAATACAGGTATCCCCTAAAAACATTCACGACATTGACAAAAGAAATGTTAAATGTATGTCATTATTAATCATTGAATACTTCTTAAGATGGAGGTATTTTATTGTAAATTGTAATATATTCTTTCTTAATACTTGGCACCATGCTTCAATGCTCCATAGTTATTGAATATCATTTTCCTATAGTATCGTAACTATTCGACAACATATTATATCGTATTAAAACAGCGCTCCAAGAACATAACACCAGTTTCACGTTTTTTAGCATGATTCGTTTCATATTCACAGACTTGCGTGTACAATATTTCAATGAACATCAGTATTTTTTTTCACTCAAAATTTTGCTAGCATAAGTTTTATAATCCTCTCTCATGTGCTAATAAGCCGCATGTTAATGTATGTATTTATAAACAAGCTTGATTTCGGACTGACCATTTTCGGATATTTATTGACTGAAGGGAAATGAAACTATCTGGACATGTTTCTGCTCTTTTACAAAGTTTTACTTTGTGAATGGTCTGTGATAATATGAGTGTTTACTAATATGGTTAAACAGTTGAAATAAAATCTTAAAGTCTTCCAATCAAGTATTAACATTCTTGATGAAAAAAATCATTAACATGATATACATAAAAAAAAAATAATAATAATTTAATGCCAGTTTAGAAAGTAATCATTATATCAGTGATGTATCTTGGTGGCTATTTTATAAAGACTTTATATGACTGTAAAGCAAACTTGATTTGTTTGTTTCTTTTGGGTTTACCACTTCATTCCCACTTGAAACAGAGGTGAGAGGTGAATTTTCGCGGGAAAGAAATTGCTGCTGCCGGGATTCAAACCCACCCGACCCTCTGCACCCTTCTGGTCATGGAGCCTATGTTCTGCCAACTGAGCTAACCCTGCATGGCGACTGTTTTTATTTTCATTTCATTAATTCTGCTCCATAGAAAACTATCACACCACTTGAACTTTGTTTTGTTTTTTCTTTTATCTTTTTAATTATTAGCAAAAATGTAAAGAGGAAAAAAAACATAAACAGATTCAACATTGTGTGGTTTTTAAAGGGTATCTTCAGCGAAAAATATTTTTTCATATATGAAAATATAGGTTCTTGTGACCACTTTACAAGAAATAAAAATTTTCAAATATAAACCATAAAAGCGAAATTGACTGTTAAAATGGCAAAATTATCGATTTCACGGAAACAGTTAAGTAAAATTCAGAAAACCCAATAAGTGACCAGTGACGTCACAGTATACCAAAAGAGACTGAAATCGACTCGATTTAACATGGCGGGAAATGAAAGTACGTGACTACTTAAATGGACTGTTTTAAGTCATTCAAGGAGTAAAAGGGCTAAAATATATATACAAAATTTTAGATTATTAAATTTCTTTATTTAATTATTGCACTGCTACCACATATAAACTTAGTTCAAAAAGGTAAAATACCGTCTCAGAAATACTCGTCTGAAAAACGGATCGTAGTAATGTGGCGACTTACTGGGTTCTGGCAATATGCGTCAAATGAAAAAGACAGTTTTTACTCCTTCACCAACGGAGAGGACTGTAATTCATAGATACAAATTTAGTATTTTGAATTCCCTATTGATTGGTGTACATACTGTATTTGTAAACAAAGAGGCGAATACTACCCGCGATCTGATTGGCTAAACCGCGCTGTCAATCAAAAGTTTAGTTTAGTTTAAACATATTTTATTGCCAAAATATTGCAAGAGGATTGGGCACAAGTTCCAAAAACTTATAATCGCCCGCTCCTAATTATTAAACACATACATATGTGTAACAGGGGTCATTATTTATTTTAATGCCTCCGCTAGGAATCGAACCCAGGACCCCTGGTGTACTAGTCTGACGCTCAACCAGTCAGGCTAGAGAGAACTTCTCTTTAGCTCGATTGGTTGAGCGTCAGACTAGTAAGCCAGGGGTCCCGGGTTCGATTCCTAGCGGAGGCATTGAGATGAAAAATGACCTCTGTTACATTGGCGCCCATGTAGGGACCCGGGATTAGTACTTAGCCATGCCCCATCGGCATCGCTGTAACCCCTGGAAACTCGAGGATTAGTTATTTCCTGGAGGGGGAGTATGTAACCCTGGTAAAATACTAGCCGCAATATACCACTCGGCTAGAGAGAACTTCTCTTTAGCTCGATTGGTTGAGCGTCAGACTAGTAAGCCAGGGGTCCCGGGTTCGATTCATAGCGGAGGCATTGAGATGAAAAATGACCTCTGTTACATATGGACATTCCTACATTTTTTGATTTCCTGTCAACAGTTCAGTACACTTATACCTCGGTTTCAGCTTCCGGTGAGATACAAAGTGACGATTGAAGGTGAATTCCTTGATATATTAATAGATAGCTTCCATTGATAAAAGAACGGTTTGCATATTGCGTCATTGCACGTGCCTGATCATAGTTACCATGATTTAAAACAGGCAGATTTATGAAAAATATTTAAAATGCATTTTTATCGACAATGATCATCACATTTTGATATATGTCCAATAATCGAAAATATCAGAACTTTGCCTTTTTACCGCTTTTACCGTGGACTTAAAAGTCCGTGTTTCGCCTATATTTACATCCGTACACGTTGTTTATCTCCTTACACTCGCCACCTGCCATTTTAAAGTTTATTAATATCATGGTAAAAGTATAGACAAATAACGTATACTTAGGTTGGTCGGGTGGCGCAGTGGTAACGCAAAAAAAAAGAGAGAGATTAAGGAAAATAAACAGCGTGATACAGTGGATTGTAAAATACCGTGGGATCGGCATTCTTATCGGCAGCAAAGATGGCTAATAATATTTTAAACAACAATTTTATCTCTCAAGTTTTTACACAGTGCAATATGTGTCGTAATTAGCAAATAACTCACCTTTATCATGAGCGGTTCTGTTTGATTAAGTGGAAAACGGCTATCAGTTAATTTACTTGATTGTTGTTGTGTGTGGACCGCTTCAATGCGTCCATTACGTTGTGTTGCAACCACGTGATCATTTCTGATTCTCTCTATATATAGCAGTGTCACTTGTGTGATTTTTATATATGTTATACACATGAACGTTTTTCTACTTCAAGATTATTCCTCAATTTTCAATTTTACACTATTCGCATATTATTTATACTACACCAGTATTTTATAGGTGACAAACAGTTTTTGTAAATTTGATTTCTCCTGATTTATTAAATGAAATTAAATGAACTCGTCTTATTCCATTACTAATGGATGATAAACAAAATATATATGTTTGTTTGTAAAGCATAAGCATGATACATATTGGAAAAACAAATTCTGCTTTATTCGTACATAAATATATTGTTTAGCATCTGAATGTAAAGAGAATTATCTCCTTTTCATGATGGAAAATATAACATTATACATACCAACTAGGTTTGAATAAAACAAACAAGAAAGGCGGTGTACATTTATCAAACTACTATTGCATTCAACAAAACAAAGACCATGTGATTTTTCAGGGGTCGTCTTGTTATCGTTCTTATTTCATATTTTGCCATCGTTTAAATCCATTTTGAGAAGGAATTACGATTTGTAACCATACCAAGGTATGATTTTAAGACTAGTCTCATTGTACTACTAGACATGCCCTTTTTATTACAGAATATCTCCACATTTTTCATTCGTGTTTCGCAAAAAAAAATTAATCTGCTACACTCGTGAAATATGGCATTATACCAGAAACCTCTATATATTTATCCTTCAATTCTTGGTCATTCAAGTATATAATAAACGTGACTAACGTAAACCTTACTATAAACAATAGTTTACATACATTTATTTTTTGTATTTCTAATATACATTCTAATAGGCTTATAAATCTAAAAACACACCATTCTTCCAAAGAATTACTGAATGGCTGGGTTGTTCACCATAAATTAAGAAATATCAATATTACAGACTATGAAAAAAATCAGATAGACGTATTTAATATTTTATTGCAAAGGATTTCAATTTTTTCCAAACATGGCGTTTCAATACTTCAAACTATGGTTACAGTACCAGGATCCATATGCTTTTAAGGCAGAAGGAGAATTAATTGGTTGATTGTCCGATCAACACATTGCAGGTCATTTACGGATATGCCAGTTTAAGTTGCAGAGGAAGACACTACAATATCTGCATAGAACCACCGACCTCCAGCAAGTAACTGCCAAATTTCGACCACAAGGAAAGGAAATCCCTAAAAATCATTATCTTCTCTGAACAGGTTTCCAACTCAAAACCTAGGAGGTGACCGTTAGGCCACCGACACCCCGGCCCCTCCGAACCTTGACGGGAACATACACAATTATACTATATTATTGATATATTGTCTTGTAATCGACACGCAGTGTATTTCCGTAACAGTATAAAAATTGTTACATTAGCGGTGATTTAAATACAACCACAACGCTTAGTGTAATGATTTATTTTGTATTACTCGAAGCGTAACAAGTGCAACTCTTAATGCAATAAAGATAAGTTTATTACATTAAGCGTAACGGTTGCAACGCTTAATGTAACAATTATTACTAATTAGCGCTGTATTACAGATATAGATAAAGGGAAATCCCCTTTGCTGGTGTGAGATATTTATAGATAAACGGAATGCCCTTAGCTGGTGTGTGCTGTTTATGACTAATACGAATACTGTCACACTATCAATGGCTTTATCCGTATCATCGATGATCATTTCATTTTGACGCTGTTAAGAAGATTAAATATATTCGTCCATGTCTCTTTTCGAATCTAAAAAGATGTGAAATCAACGTGACCTATTTAAGTTATTTAATATACGTTTTTTATAAGTCTTTACAGTTTTATCTCTACCTTATACAATAATTATTCTATCGACAGCTGAAAAATAACAATAACATCCATTGTAGTTAATAATAATAACTAACCTAATTAATAAATTACTCACCAGCATAAATTCCGTGTAATCATCAGCTCCTGCACGATCAGTCCTACACACATGTATGTGTACAGAACAATAATATTCAACCAACCAATCATAGCCGAGGTCAGAGTCAGGGCCGTGGTTTCTGAGCGATTGGTATAACGTAAATAAAAAGTATACGTTGAATTGAATATCAGTTTGTTAAACAGACAAATAATTAAATTACATTTCTGGACATTGCATCAAGTTCAGAAAGAATTATTCTGAAGCCTTCATATTGAAAACCTTTCGTGAATAAGTGTAATAAATCAATGCTACTGACTTGTTATAATTACTTTTCTTAAGCTTGTAAATATGACCTTATCCAATAATCATTCTACCTATATCTAGCTGAATAGGTTCAGTAAGATCATATTCTGCCTGATTCTAATAACACTTGCATATTCAAGGTGTGAACGAGTATGACTTAAAAATATCAAAGGATCCAAATTTATTTATCTCTTTAAATAGTTTATTATCAATATGGGTGATATCATCTGGACATTAACCATGATTGTTGAAAATGACACCCAAATGTTTATATTTTTGTAACATTTATCATGTTAGTACTAAGACAAATGAGATCAGGATGCGTAAAATCAGCATTTAATGTGTTTGATTAAAACATACCCCATTTTATATGCCAATAAAAGCTTTATTGATGTTACAAAACACAATCTTTTCTTATTTTTTTAAGAATCGAGTCATATGCAAATAACAGCTGATTTACTATAGAATATGTTGGGATACATCAAGGTTTATTCTTAGAAATGATCTATTACTTGATGCATTACTAAATGAATATTTGTATGCTATTGTTTTCAAGCATTTTCAAGCACAATTTATTGTTGAATAGACTATGCAAAGACTTTACGAAAGATTAAGGAATCCCTTTGAAAGATTTAGGGTGAATTGTGTTATGGCCTGTGCGTTTTATTGGATTGACAAATGTTGTAAGTCTAATATAATGTTTTTAATGTATATAGGTCAGCCGCTTATCTTTGTCTGCTCCTACAATGAAACCAACATGGATACTTTTCCAACAAGCTGTATGATAGGCGTGCTGATTTTAATTTCTCTATTGTGAAGTTTCCGTTTCTGGATAACATAATTCCTGCATCTCCAACCTATGATGTTCACAGTTGATTCGATAGTCCAGGACCTATTCCTTTTATCACGATGTTTGTGCAAGAAGTCGTAAACTGACGGACGAACTCAAAATATAAGATTGCAAAAGATGCAGATTGATAAAAATCATTGTGAATTTTTACGATCTTATCGAGAAATAAGCTGGACGTTCTGAAACTTTTGAGTTTTCCTGTAGGTGCCATTGGTGTATACCTTGTTCTCATTTGACAACGTGACATAAATTACTTGGATTGGCTAATGTTAACATGGTGGGTGTCGTCGATGGAGAAGACGCTTACCCGTCCGGAACGCATGATAATATTCTCTTTGTATTGTTTCATGTGTCTCTGTGTAATTGTTTCATTTGTTCGTATTTTGCCCTTGTTTTATTGAATTTGTATTTGGATTATGGTTATGTTGACATGTTGGTACTTTCTTTCTTTTTTTTTCTACTGTTGGTGATTATGATAATACATGATTAACAATGAGAATTAATTAGCATATTATATATGTGTACCACGCTTCATGACAAAACAGGATCACTAGCATTTGTTATAGTTTTAACGGTATTTGTCTGATATTTTGGCTCTTGAAACCCTGTTCGTTACAAATTAGTTCCTGAAGCAACATTTCTGCTAGTGTTTCATTCATAACTGTATCCAAACATCGAATATGTTTACCGCTACCTCAGCGTGTCATTACATGTGTGGTGTAAATTGTTACATTTTAAATTCTTCTTATTTCAGTTATTTGATAGATGATATATGTAATTTTATTTCTTAACAAAATCTCTGAAATACCTATTAAATGAAAGTACCTGGTCATAAAACTAACCACTCGACGGGTGCATGTGCTATGTTTTCGGAAAAGTTGAAAATCCACTTTCGTATTATAAAGATTCCTACGTTTTCCAAATATACCGTTCTATAAGCTATGTATGCAATGAGATAGACATAATCATTTAAGCTCCGGATTTAATTTACAGAATGGCGTATCAAAATGTGTGAAAGATTTCTTAAATATTTCAGTTTCACTTTTAGATGTATTGATGATGATTTGTCTAATTCTACAATTTTTTATACAGAAATAACTACTAGAATGGGACACAACTACATCATCTACTTACCACAATCTTTTCCTGTAAGTATATCCTATATGTCAACATTGTAACCATTACAAAAAACAGAAGTAATATATGATATAAAGTAGAAATTACAACACTGAGATAGCTTGAGATTGTCTATTATTTTGAGTTATAATAATGATAAACAAACAAAAAAATAGTGGAACGAGTCAAAAAACTACAAATCAAGGCTTATTAATATTTTATTTAAAAATGTATCAAAAGTATTATCGATCAATTATGACAATATATTTATCCATAACAAATTATATAATATTTGCTGATGAAAATATAATATTTGCAAGAATTTAGTTGTAATCATCTCGACAGGGAAACAAAACAATTACTCAGTAACTACGATTCTACTGCCGTGTAGTCAGCTGTTTGAGCCTAATTTGTTAATACATATATATATGATAATATATTCCGAAAA